TCTAGGCACTGTACCTACTGTGCCTGAAGGTGAGTCAGCCCTGGCTCTTTCCACCTGAGTTGGCCAGTAACAAATCTTGACTCACAGCACTGATACTGTCTTTATAGCTCATCATCCCAGGTGACGGAAGTCCTCAACATTGTCTTTCCCATTATATACATCATTCTTGACAAGTCCCTGGGCTCATTTGTAGAAGATTCACTGTGTTCAGGATGTGGTGATTTTCTCATCATACTGAGTCACGTGCCCACCTGTGTGGTCAATAGCCTCACTACAGACACATGAGTGGGGCAGGGATTTTCCTAAAAAGAAGAGATCCTAGGCACACAGAAAAGCAACACGGGTCCACTCCAGCACTTCAGAGAAGGTAGGAAGGTGGAGAAGAGGTCTGCCATCATAAATGGTCAGGCCTTATGAGGAACTGGCTTGCTGGGAATGAACAGCATGACCTTCACTTAGGTTCGCTTCTGAGCACTATCTTGGAAGGTGTAAATCACTTCTTGGTAGATGGGCTGGAAAATGGATTTATTTGTTCAAGTGCCACCAGTGATTAGGTATAAAGTCATAAAACTGTAGATCCCATTTTTTACTGTTAGACTTCAACTTTTAAGAATTTGGAGCCATTGAAAAACTTAGATTCTGAAGGTTTTAGTATTTTAGACTCTACGAATCTAAGCTCTCTAAACTCACAGAATTTTAGATTTTTACTTCTTTGCCCTTGTGATCATCTTGTCTAAGTTGTAAAACTTCACTTTTTAAACCATAGATCTCAAACCTTAGAATTTTAATATCTTATAATCGGAGAATGGTTTAAGATAATAGAATATTTGAATCTTACTCTCAAAATCTTGCCTTGGGGATCATAAATATTTAGAATAAGAGAAGCTAGGGCTCTGACTCTTGGTCTCTTGATCCTAGGGCCTCTGATCCATCAGGGACTTAAAGTCAGGAAAGACGTTTATTTGGCACTTCAGAATTTATTAGGAGGCACTGGGGTGGTGGGGGGGAGTAAATTTGCAGTTTTAGGGATGGGTTTCTGCTCTGAACCTGAACCTGAACTTTCCCTTGTCCAGTTGCTTCATACTCTTCCCTAAGGCTTTAAACACGCATAGACAACCCCACCCCCCAACCCCATGTCACTCCAACTCCTCAGGGATATTTCTCCTCTTTGAGGGGCTGATATGCCCAGGCCTTCCCTGGTGATCAGTCAACATGGTTAGGGTCCAAACCTGGGCAGATGAGTCAATAGGAGAGGGCAATAGCCCCTTCCCAGTCCTTTTCCAAGGGTCCTCTGGGACAATAAAGTTCATCTCTGAATATTGATCCACTGGCAACTGAAATGAATGGAGATTCCAGCCAAAGGTGGTCCCCAGTAAGAGAGAAATGCTAGTGAAATCTCATCAGACTCTTACCTCACACCATAGGTGCAGCTGCTGGCTTGGCTTAGGTGCTGGTAGTCAGTATCACTCTACCACTTCCCTTATGACGGTTGCTCAGGTCTGAAGGCCCGCTCTCCCTGAGGATCATTAATTAAACAGTTCAGGGAAAGGAAGATTCCCTGAAACTGGAGAGCATCCAAAATAATCTACTGAAAAGAAAAGGTAACGCAAAACAGTATCTAGTCCTCACATTTTTCTGGTGGTCATTATTTTGTTTTAAGCAGGGGTCTTCATAATTACATTACACTTCTGTATAATACCTATGTGTTTATTTATATTTGTTGTATAAGAAGGATCTGAGATAGCTTAGGAACTGAAGACAAGGTGAAATAGGACAAAACATAACAAAAATAATTTAGAGGGAGGGAGAAGAGAAATAGATATTTTTAGGTTCTTGACAAAGAAAGGTGCAAAAGATGAGAAAGAGGTTCTGAGTTCCTGTCAGCCAGGCAAAAAAGAATTTGGCTGGGTATGAAGTATTCCATTACCTGACAAAAGAAAAGACAGTAGTTTACTTTTAGATAAAACTCTTTTCTTCCACTGCATTTAAGGAGAAACTCATAGGGCAATGCTGAGTATAACAATGGACACTGTGTTCAACTTGTCGTTCTGCACAATATTATTAAAAGCCAGTGTTTACTGAGTACTTGCTGTCCACTTATTTGTGTTAGAATTGCAAATCCTCGGCCCCACCTAAGACCTACTGGATGGAAAAATGAGAACAGAGCCCAGAAACCTTAGGAGGATTTCCAGGCATACTGAAGTTCCAGAAGCAGCTTGGTATTGCTGGTTGTTATGGAAAATCGTGCTCAGCAAGAGACCAAGCATCACTCAGAAGGTTGGAGAACTCAGAGGTTTATTTGCCCCTAGGAAATCAGAAATCGGATAAGCTAGTGCTCTGAGGTTCTGGGCCTGAGCTAAGGTTAAATTTATAGGATATTTGACATTATTTTTTAACCATTACAACATGGGTGGGTTATGTGACCCAAGACCATGCACAGGGAAGTTAATTTAAGATAACTAGCTCACAGGTGCAGAACAAAGACAGTAAAACACCTGCCAGTGTTATGGCAAAGCGGCCTTCACCACAGGCAACAGTAACTCGAGATAACTTGAGTTTTCCTCCCTAAAACCCTATAGTTCTAAGAACTAAGCCTACAAGGATATGGTTTAGACAGCAGTTAATTGGCCAAGCAATTAGGTGATGTAGCTATATTTCCACTGAATTCAGAAAGTTACGAAGTATAGGAAAACCAACCCTTTCCCCAGGCATTGGTTCTTCATCATACTATTCTTATAACTTCATTGCATAACCAGGTCTGGCGTCTCCATCACACTGTCACCATGAATCACCCTTCAGTTCCCTGGGCCTTTTGAGGAAAATTAATCCTTGACTTTGTTTTCACTTATTGAGTATGAATCTGCCATTCATTTTCCTAAAAGATTAAGGTAGGGATACTTAATGAGCAGAGACAGCTTAATGGAAATGGAAGGATCTCAGCCATTAGAACTGGGCTGTGGCTCCAGGGTTTTTTTGTTTGTTTGTTTGTTTTGTTTTGTTTGTTTGTTTTTCATTTACCCTGAGTCCTTAGGAAATGCATGTTCTTGCTCTTTGGACATGAGTGTATCTATCCTACAATGTGGGATCTGATGAGATGATTGTTTAGAGAGAGGCAGGGCACCAATGCTGAGGGACACTGTGTGCCAAGGGCTGAAGCATTCATTAAGGCCCTATGAAAGGCGTGGAGCTACTGACATGAAAAAGACAGGCCCAGCACCTACACTCTCCAGACACCACCGTACCTGGCTTCACTCCTCCAATGAAGATTCCATACAAGTCACAACAGGGTAATTAGAATTTAGTGACATAGGGCAATGATTGGGAACGCTTTGTTAGCTAGAAACTGGTTTTCCACTGGCATACCAACTAGAAAAACTTTTAAATGCTTTTCATGACAGTTACATAAATAATGAAGTTTATGCTACCAAAAGCACTACCATGTTTGTTGAAAAATTAAAAACTTAAATGATAGACATCAAAAGGGTTGAAAAAATGGAGAGATATATCAAACAAGTGGGGGGAGTAGTAGAATGCAATTCCCCTCAAATTTATTGCTATGTTTATATATATTTTTTGGTACTGGGGTTTGAACCCAGGGTGCTTAACCACTGAGCCACATCTCCAGCCCCTTTGTATATTTTATTTAGAGACAGTGACTTGCTAAATTGCTTAGGCCCTCACTAAATTGCTGAGGCTGGCATTGAACTCATGATCCTCCTGCCTCAGCCACCCGAGCACTGGGATTATAGGCATGTCCCAACTCAGAATGAGTAGTTTTTTATCCTGATGAGAAAAAAATTAGAGAGTTGAATATAGCCAATTTTGGTGAGGATATGAAAATGGCACAATCATTCTGGGAAACAATCTAAAGCACAGTTTTCTTTATTTGCAGTAATTATATTCTGTAAAGTTACTGCAAACAGAATTAATGAATAGTAAAAAATAGTTGTAGGGGAAATACAGGGTTAGTTTCCTGTGAACCTATAGTTTTAATATTTTTGTCAATCAAATAATACATAGTCTTGTTTTACATGTGTTTCTGTTTAAAAACAGACACCTTATTTAACAAATATTGATTCATTGACTATGGACTCACAGCCAACAGCACTATAATTCATGCCTGTGCAAAGCCCACCTACCACACCTATTTTCTCCAGAAGGCACATCACAGCCTTCTTAACTTGGCAACACTAGACAACACTTTGGCATCATGCTTGGGAGATGTTTTAAACATGAAATCACCAAAAGAGAGTGCAAAAATGCAAAAAAAAAAAAAAAAAAGTGACTCTAGATAGGCACTGAAAGGACTGACATCTTAAGGCAGAAGGCCATATTATTTGATCTCAGCTGAAAAACTGCTCCCAGGGGACTCAGTTTGGCTGCTCTGTGCAAGTTTGAGAATGGCCCTGAATCTTCCTATTGGTATTGGGTAAGAGAGTAGGCAAATTTGCAAATGTGGACTCTACAAATCAAGGTTATGCATACCCCATGACTAATCTGTTTCACTCCTTGGCATATATTCCAGGGCAAATCCTCTGTGGGTCCCTAAAGGGATATACACAAGGTCATTCATCAAGATCTACTAGTGGTAAAGAGTTAGAGGCAATTTGGGTGTCCTTCACCAGGAAAAAGTAAAATGTGATGAAATCATCCAGTGGATTGTGCATCAGTTGGAACCAATAGAACTTTAGATGTATAAAAGCAACATGGATCTGAAAAAAAGAATTGGGAAAAAAAAGTCAGAAATAACTGGACTTTGGGCTGGGGATGTGGCTCAGGCGGTAGTGCGCTCGCCTGGCATGCGTGCGGCCCGTGTTCGATCCTCAGCACCACATACAAACAAAGATGTTGTGTCCACCGAGAACTAAAATAAATAAATAAATAAATAAATATTCTCTCTCTCTCTCTCAAAAAAAAAAAAAAAAGAAATAACTGGACTTATAACAAGTCTGTTATGTAAATTAGATGTATACATACAGGTACAAAACAACACTGCATATTTTACAAAGATATACTTTTATCTATGGACCTATATCCAGCACATTAGAATGCTTTGGTGGGAAAGAAGATTGAAAGAGGAGAATAAGTGAACAAGCATGGGGCCTACAGAAGCTCAAGGGTCCACTGTGCCCTGGGCTCTGCTCTCATAAGGCCTGAAACAAAAGCTATGATGGGGAATAAACAGTGCTGGGGGCACTCGAGAATGATGCCTGTCTGACCTTTCAGGATGACGAGCCAGAGCAGAGATGCTTCAGGAGGAGCCTGATTTGACTTAGGAGAAAGAGGGCTTCCAGAAAAGGAGAGTTTGTTATTGGTGACCATGAGAACTTTGTGAGTTTGAAAAGCTGGAAGGAGGTCAGAAGGGTCATGTGAGAAGCCACTGTGTGACTTGAGGCAAAGGGATCACAGTGCCAGATACAGCGAGCCTGTAAGTCATGTGGAAGGTGGTCAGTGACCATATCCACAAGTCAAGAAGCTCCACTATGGCCTCTGCATGGCCTGGAGCAGGGGCATAGGGAAGAGGCCAGGGTTTACCCAGGAGAGGGAAGGGGTGACACCTACCCAATGGGTAGGGTGAGAGGCAATAGGGTGAAGGGAGAAGGGGAGAGAGGAGACTGCCCATTGTCTCTCACATCTTCACAACCTCTACTTGAGGGCCACCAGGGAGTCCCTCCCGGAGTGCACAGGGCCTCAGGTGCCCACCTGCCCATCTTTTCAAGGCAAATTGCTCAGTGATTCTTTTTAGTTTATTTATTTAGTTCACTGACAAATAAAAATTGTATATATTTGTTGTTTACAACATAATGTTTGAAATATGTGTACATTGTGGAATGGCTAAATCAAATTAATTGATACATATATTATCTCATTTTTTTGCACTGAGAACATTTAAAATCTATTCTTTTAATGATTTTCAAATATACAATATGTTCGTATTAAGTATTGTCACCATATTGCAAATATATCTCTTGAACTTATTCCTCCCGAATAACTAAAAATTTGAACAAGTCAAAAATCCTTTGACTTGTTTCTTTCCAAGATCCCCCACCCATCCCTTTCTCTGTTCTTGATTGTCAGTGTTAAACCATATGACTGCCCTCCATCCCTTTCCCTCTGACCACAGCTTGTTGGTACAGAGGTGGACATCTGTCAAAAGGGCAACTAATCCCAAGGCTACTGAATGACCCCACCTAGTTTGAAACTATTTAAAGTTTTTTAAAAGCTATGATAAATTTACTATTTAATCACTTTTATGGATTGGGAGCATTAAGTACATTCACAATGTTATCCCACCATTACCATTATCCATTTACAGAATTTTTTTCATCATCTCAAACAGAAGCTCTATATCCTTAAAAAACAAACAAATAAACAATCAAAAACCTTTCCATTATTCCACCTCTCAACTCCTAGTAACTATTGTTCTACTTTCTGTTTCTAGGAACTTGACTATTCTCTATGAACTTTACTTATTTAAGTGAAAGTATGACTAGCTTATTTCATTTGGCAGAAGGTCTTTAAAGTTCATCTATATTGCAGCAAATATAAGAATTTCATTCCTTTTTGTGGATGAATAATATTCCATTGTATGTGTTTTAGTCAGCTCTGTGTTGCTATGACCAAAAACCTGACAAGAACAATTTTAGAGGAGGGATACATTATTTGGGGCTCATGGTTTCAGAAGTCTCAGCTCATAGATGGCCAACACCATAGTTTTGGGCCCAAGTGAGGCAGAGCATCATGGCAGAAGGGCATGGAGGAGAAAAGGAGTTCAGGTCATGGGAATCATGAAACAGAGGGCTCTGCTCACCAGGGACAAAATATAGATGCTAAAGGCACAACCCCATGGGCCTGCTTCCTCCAGCCACACCCTACCTACCTACAGTTACTGCCCAGTTAATCCATATCAGTGGATTAATGCACTGATTGAGTTAAAGCTCTCATAACCCAATCTTTTCACCTCTAAACATCTTACATTGTCTTACACATGAACTTCTGGGGACACCTCCTATTTAAACCATAATGGTATGTATATATCACATTTTATTTTCTCCATTCATCTGTGGATGGACATTTAGGTTGTTTCCACCTCTTGACAATTGGGACTCATGCTGCAATGAACTTAGGTAAACAAATATCCCTTTGGGATCCTAATTATCTGGGGATATATGCCCAGCAGTGGACTTTCTGGAGCCTATGGTAATTTTGTTTTATTTTTTGAGGATCTGTCCTATCTTACATAGTGGCTCTACCATTTTATATTTCCAACAGTGTCCAAGTGTTCCAATTTCTCCACATTTTGCAAGCACTTCTTTTCTTTTTTTTTTTTTTTTTCAAATATTAGCCATTGGTGAGATACTAGATGCTGGTGTCTCCTTGCAGTTTTTTTTTTAGTTGTAGTTGGACACATTATCTTTATTTCACTTATTATTATTTTTTTTAATGTGGTGCTGAGGATCAAACCCAGGGTACTGCACATGTGAGGTGAGCATTTTACCGCTGAGCCACAATCCCAGTCCCTCATTGCAGTTTTGATTTGCATTTCTCTAGAGAGTAGTGATGTTGAGCATCTTTTTTTGGTGCTTATCAGCCTTTTGTATCTTCTTTAGAGAAATGCATCTTTAAAGAGGGCTGGTTTTTTTGTTATGTATTCTGAATATTGATTCTCTAGTAGATATGTGACTGGCAAATACTTTATTCCATCCTGTGGTTGCTTTTCACTCTCTTGATTATGTTCTTCTTCTTTTTTTAAGGACACAATATCTTTATTTTGCTTATTTATTTTTTTATGTGGTGCTGAGGATCGAACCCAGTGCCTCACCTGTGCAAGGCAAGCGCTCTACTGTAGAGCTACAACTTCAGGCCCTTGATTATGTTCTTTAATATGCAAAAGTTGAAACTACTTATACATGGGAAATACAGAAACTGTGCCAAATACAGAAACTGTACCAATTTCATGACTGCAGATGAAAATATTGTTTTCATTGTTATTATTTCTTGTCTACTTGTGATAAATGTTTAGGAAGAGCCACAAGAAAATAGTGAGTAAACTATCTGGGGATTCCTTATCACCGCAGTTCACTCTCCAGATGATTCTTTGTTCCATCTACAAGGATTGCTGAAGATGAAAAGGTTATGATCTGGGGACACAATAAACCAGTTTCACCTGAAACTCAAATTGCTACTAGAAGATAAGTTCTGAACAGAGGAGCCCCAAACAGAACTTCTGTAGTAAAATGGGGGTAATTTTGGAGTTGTTTATTGCCTGGTAGTGGAGTAAAGAGAGAAAAATATTCCTCTCCACATCCTTAGGTTGAATTCTAATAGCTCATGGAACTCAGGGACAAGGTAGTTTATTATTCTGTCTCCTTTAGAACTTGAGGATTATAGCACCAGAGAGGTCTAGATACCAATTTCAAAGAGCGAGGAATAAACATAATATCGAATGAATAAATTTTAGATAGAAAACAGGGGTCCCATTCCCAGGTGGCAAACAAGGAAACTCAGTGGCTTTATATCACTCTGCTTCATGAAACCCTTTCTGACTGTAGCAGGATTTCTGAGACCTCTGAGAGATGAATTCAGGAGCAAATCATATTCTTTGTGGAATTGCGTTGGTTGAATTTCCATCTTCATTGGGTTTTATGAAATAGGAAAATGGTTAAAATTCATGCTTTGATTAGCAAAAACTGGAACCTTAGAAATTGGAATGAGATTATCTGCGAAGAGCCAAAGATGAGGAGGACATCTGTCACTGGGGTCACCCATCTCCCCACCAAATACTTTTTACTGTTCTCTTATTTCCCTGGTTGGACAAACCTGACAGGTCTTTAAGAGGAAACTTAGCATAGAGGAAGGGATTGAGAGGCTGGGCTGACTATTAAGGCCAGAAAGAGGAACTCTGGGGACTATATTTTGAGAAAAAAATGCTGGCTGTGGGAACAGCATGCTACTGATAAGGAGAAATTTCTCTACTTAGCCACCCAGTGTCATGGGTAGAGAAACCGCAGTGTGCTTAGAATTAAAACAACTGTGACACTTTTTGTTCAAACGGGTGTGCTCAGGGACACCCTTAACTGAGTGTAAGCTGGGTGGAGACACCTTTAAGACCTGCCTTGAAGACACCCTGAGGTACTAGATAGCAGATATAGACCTCCTGGGGGATGGCATTGAAATATTTTTAGTGGCAGTGACTTCTTAGCAACCACTGAGGATTGAGATAACCATTTCTGTTTTTCCTGGGAGGGGTGTTTGTGAGCTACTTCTCCACAAAGAACAAGAGTGATTTATACCTATGTGCCAGAGAAGCTAGTGATTTTCAGAAATACTGAAAGAAGAGATTCAAGTGAAAGACTAAATGTGTTGCTGAATATCTGCAGTCTTTGAGAATGAACATTGATTTAATGATAATGTGACCCCAATTGTATTTACAGTCTTGTGACATTTAGGACTTATTGCTTAAACCATGCTGACTATGAATGAAGGAAAATACTCTCATTGGGTTATAATGGAGGAATACCTAGGACGTACTGTGAGACTCGTTGCTCTGCCTTGCTGCCTGAATTTTCTACTTTTCTCTGTACTGCTGTGTTTATGAGAGAAGATGGAATTGACCCTCTGAGTCAGGGAATCCCAATGTTCTTTGGCTCCTGGGGACATGCTATTTTGGCAATGGCTGCTTTGACATCCTTGTTTCTCAGTGTGTAAATGAGGGGGTTGAGGACAGGTGTGAGAATAGCATAGGCCACATTGCCCATGATGTGGAAGTCCAGGGGCAGGTCAGCCCTGTAGGCCACATAGGCCACGGCAATGGACGAGTAGTAGGTGCCCACCACCAGGAGGTGGGAGCTGCAGGTGGAGAAGGCCTTGGAGCGTCCTTCTCGGGAGCTGATGCGAAGCACCGAGGCCAGGATGTGAGCGTAGGACAGAAGCACCAGGAGAAGGGGGAGGAAGGAGACCACCATGGCGATGCAGAAGCCCATGAGGGCCTGGGGGGTGGTGTCGGAGCAGGAGGCCTGGACCACAGCCAGGTGGTCACAGAAGCAGTGATAGATGTAGGCAAGGTTGTCGAATGCCATCTGGGAGGTCTGGACCACTGCTGGGATGGGCAGGAGGAGGGTGGTGAGCCAGGCACTGGCCGCCAGTGCAGCGTTAGTCTGTGGGGTCATGTGGACGGGGTAGTGCAGTGGGCGGCAGATGGCCACGTAGCGGTCATAGGCCATGACCACCAGGAGGAAGGCTTCTGAGCAGCTGAGGCCATGGAACAGGTACATCTGCAGAAAGCAGGCCGGGAAGCTGAGAAGGCGGTCCCCAAGCAGGAATAGGGACAGCATCTTGGGGATAGTGGTTGTAGTAAAGAGAATGTCCAGGGCTGAGAGATTAATTAGGAAGAAGTACATAGGCTTGTGGAGGCTGGGCTCTGCCACCACGGCCATCAGGATCAGGGCATTGCCCACTAGGATGAGTAGGTAGAGGAGAAGGAAGATGAAGAAGATAGGAAGGAAGAGGGATTTTGGAAGAGAAGGAATGCCCGTAAGGTAGAAGATGACGGAGGAGTCCCCTGATCCATTACAGGGTGTGATCTCCATGGTGGGTAAATGCTGGAGGCTCAGGAGGTGAGTCGTGGGAACATCTGGGAACCAGGCTCACTGGAAAGAGAACAATCTGAAATTCTGGAATGAGAATTACAGAGTAATCAATCTATAATTAATATAATCATGTTTATTGACAAATAATTATAGCAGATAGATAATGGGACTGTCCTATCCCCAGACTCTTCATCCTATTCTGTAATTCCCTCTTTCCTTTTAAAATTAAGTATAGAAAAAATACCTACAATGTACAACCATGTTTCATTTGCTAGGGGTACAGTAGAGAAGTGGAACAAGCAGGAGAAGGTTTCTAACCTCATGGGGCTGAAATTTTAGTAGCAAAGAAATACATTAAGCAATGAATCATATAATTACTTAATTGCAGTTGTGTTAAGTGCTGTGGAAGAACTTCTGTGTTCTTTTTCATGTTCCATATGACCCTCTGGGGGATATCGGATCTCTTAAGCCAGGACCCTAATTCCCTTTCTCTTTTGGCACTACTTCAAGTTTTTGGTTTTTTTAAATAAAAGGACATCTTTGTCACAGTGTAGCTAGGGAGAACTGATTTTCTACACACTCTGCCTTCCCGCTATAATTATTAACCAGGGACTGGCTTCTTTCTCTTGTTTGCTTGGGGTCGTGGTTCTTCTGTCTCCATCTAAGCTGAGTCCTCAGGTCCTGTCTCTGGGCATTGGGCTCTTTTCATTGTTAACAGTGAAGGAAGCGACTCTTGGTAGGAAGGGTGATTCCTGACTGGGGTCCGGGTAATACCTTCTCCCAAAATTCTGCTAAGAGAATCCAGACAATCTCTGCAATTTCACAGAATATTCCTCCTCAGTGACTGCTGCAGCCAGCAGGAGCTTGTGCTTGACCACTCAACTAACCCTGTCCAGCAGGCGCCCTGGGGAGCCTAGCTGATAGAGATGACCTGGAGATGACCTGCTCCCAGTAGCTGCTCCAAGACAAAAGGATCTCTCCCAGAGGAATCAAAAATGAGTGCTTCAACCCAAAACCTAGGGATTTTGAGCTAAAGGAAATACTGATTTCTTCTCTTTTGTAGGCTTGTCCTTTGGACAAGTGACCCTCATGTCAAATTTGTATCATTCTCTCCTTATTCCTGATGATTCCATGTGCAGTTTTCCTCAGTCACTTTTAACGTTCCATTCTTTTAACAAAAAAAAAATCTCTCATGTGTAAAAACAATAATATCAAAACTGGAAAATACTTTAAAATTTTTTTAAATACTTCTCCCATAGGCCAGAGACTGTGTAGAGAGAGGGCAGGGGCTTTCCCAGGTGCTACAGCCACTGGCTATACAGCTAGGAACTGGGCCAGATCCTTGATTCCCAGGACAGTGCTTTTCTTCTCTACATTTTTTATTGGAGAATCTACATTTTTTACTGGGATTCATATTTCCAAGGGGAAAACATTAGGACAAAGAATTCTGTTTCCCCACCCCACCCTTTTTTAAAGTTGTTAATATCAGACAAAACCAAATTTCAACTTTTCCTCTGGATTTCTCTATGGTAGATACTAAATTGGTTTCTAGCAACGCCAATGCTTCCTTGAAGTAATGTCCTAGAACCAGGCAAAAGAATGAGACTGCTTTGTCCCAAATTCAGAGGGCTGTCCCTCAATTAGTCATACCTCATTCAAACAGATTCTGTAAGTAGGAGGGACACAAACCATACCTCCTTGGACATTGTGGCACCTAGAAGAAGCCGTGGGCTGTTGTTTCTGGGTTAGGCTGAATTGGGACATTGGAGGAACAGAAACTCAGAAGTTCAAAACTAAAGGGACCCTAGTAGGCCACCAAGTCTAGCTGTCCTTCCTTCTCTCTCCTCTGTACACTGTTTTTTTTCAGATGCTAAGATCCTGGTGGAGAGATGGTCCATGGATTTTCATTGTTGGACCATCTAACAGGAAGCCCAGGCTTAGGTCACCAACAAAGTAGGGTCATCAAAACTACTTTTCAAAAGATTTAACATTTAATACTTCAAAACATAGTCAACTAGTTCATCATAGGAAATATTGGAATTTGGCTGGGCTTTCTAACACTTATTTTACAGTTCAAGGTTGTGTTGTTCTGATTTATATGCTACCTCTAAGGAATACAATCCTGTGCTTAGGGCCAAAAGGACTCTATCTCAAGGCACAGATCTTGCCTGTAGGAATTATCTATAAGTCAGCTATAGGGGGAAAAGACAGAAAGTCACCTGAATGTCCAACCTGCACTTTTATGAGCATCTCCTCTCTTCACACAACCCTGCCAAGGAGGGGTTATGTGGCTTCAACAAATGAAGAAACTGAGGGTCAGAGAAGGACAGGCCACAGCTGATGAGGGGAGAGAACAGAGATTGTTTCTGTAGCCAGCCTGCTGCAAAAGGCTGAGCCCCTCCTAAAAACCAAGATCCTGGCTCCTGGAGCAGTCTTGCTGCTTGCTTATTGTGACCTTGAGCCCCTGAGTCTTTGTTTTCTAGTCTGTTCAGTGAGGGGTTTGAGGAAAGGATCCCTGGAGGGTTTCCAATTCGATGAGCCATTTTCTGTGTGTCTTCTCTGTGCTTGGCAGAGCAGAGCTTTCAGGGACAGATGTTGCATGATCCATGCCCAAAAGTGGAAGAGAGAGCGCTCTTCGGCTTAGCTAGCCCTCTCTGCAAGGCCGCAACCTCACCTTCATTATGCCACATGCAGTGTAGTGGTTCTAACTTGGGAGCTAGAGAGGGCTAGATTCCAATCCCTGTTCCTACCTCCAGCTGTGTGACATTGGACAAATCACTTTCCCCTCTCTGAGCCTTGTTTCCCTCTCTGAAACCTCATAGGGTTTTCTCTATGGAGAGAATGATGAGGCAGTGCTTACAAAGAGCTTGGAACTTGTAAGAGCTCAAGGTTTGCCATGTTTTCAATGGTTTCTGCTGTGGTCAGCTTTGTCTTTGTGTGGGAAGGCCTTAGCCAAGATGGTTTGAATTCCTCCAGTGAACACACCTCTCTTCCCCTGATATACTGAGGTATCTGGCCCAAGGTTTCACAGCTCTGGATTCTGGGTGCCTGCCTCTGTGTATATCCAATTCATCTTCCTAACCTCTGGCCCGGGTTTGTAGCCCATGGGTCCCCCTGTTCTTGTCTTTCCATCCCAGCTTTCTCTGCCTGTCTCTGGGCACTCCATCCCCAGCAACATGTACCTGCTGAGCCTGGTCCACACTGGTGTGTTCTATAGTTCTCCACGTGAGGCCTTGGTGGAAGTAGCAGACTGGGGCTGAGACATGGCCCATTAAACCCTTGGGCCCCTCCTTTCAGGCAGACCTCTTGAGGTACTTTCCCTAATACTAGTGCTCCCCCGGCACCACACCTACCATCCCTCAGGAATCACATCCTGGCGTCTCCTAGAGCATGAATGATGTGAGCAGTTAGGATTTGTCCCCAGGCTTTGATGATAGTGAAATCATTGTTAACAGCCCTCAAGGGTGTGGAATTTTATACTAGTGTATTTTTATTCTCATTAACCCATTTGATATTCTCAATGGTAGAGGAGAAGGAAGAAACAACAGGGCATATAGGAAGTCCAAGAGAAGGAAAATGAGGTCCAGGAGCTGAAATAACTTGTCCATTTTAACACTGGTGTCTATAGGCAGAGCTAGTATTCAGACCCAGGGCCCTATTCCATGCGTCCTCATCTCTATAATGGGATTACATACTGGTCAAGAGGATTGGGTATGGAGCTATTAATTATTAAACATCTTCCTGTAATGGTTTGCTGACTTTCCATTAACTTTTACAATTGCACATAGAAGTACTAATATATTCTCCAGAGATTTCTCTGGTTCTAGAAATAATTCTCCTTCCCATTACATAGCCACAATTGTGTTCCCTCTTTGTCCTCAGATATATTAGCTGTACCCTTCTTTGCCTGTTAATTCAGTTGCATGTGGAGTCCTAAAGCTTAGGTGGCTATCTCCACTTACAGTTCAATGAAATGATTATTTCATTTCTGGCAGAAATGTAAAGAAGGAAGGAAGGAAGGAAAGAAGGAAAGGAGGTAGGGAGGAAGGAGGGAAAGAGAAAGGAAGAAAGGTGGGTGCATTCCACACTTAGGAACTAAAAGGTATAAACTAGCAGAATTTGAAGTTGAGGAGAAGCAAGAAAATATTTTGCAACTGGGTTCTTAAGGCTAGTGAGAACCCGCTTCTTGGTTTCCAGACTTGTGTGTTCTGGCCATATATTCTGCTCTACATTTTGACTGCTAGTTCAGCTTGTCAGGCTGTGCCCATACCTGCCAGGGATTGCTATCTGGCCAGCACCCAAAACTGTCTTTAGGAGTGCAGGTTATTCTCCATTCTTAAACCAATATAGTTACTTCTGAGAGATGGGATGCATTGTAAGGTTAGTGACTCCTATGTGCATGAGATTTACTGCTTCACCTCTTTTGCTATAAATTGAGTTTCTTTGTCAAAAGAAGGGCATATGGGATATCATCATGATGAATAAGGCATTTATTAAATCTTTAGAAGGTGAAACTGGCAGAAACACTGTGAGCAATAAAGGCAAATTCATACCCAGAATAGGATTCTACTACAATAAAGACAAATCACTTCCCCCAGATGATGAAAGAGATCCAGTGAAATGAACATGCCACCCGTGGGGATGAGTGTCCTTGAGTGATGGTTCACACATTGTGCGTGGCATATTTGATACTTATCAGAAACTAAGCCAGATGAGCCTTGATGAACCCACTTATAACCCCCATCCACACTACTGTGATAGACACTGATTGACATCCATGGGATGGATCATCTTATCTACTTGATTTTGCTTACTCTTGCTGATTTTGGAGATGTAAATATCTCCAGCATTTGCACTCATTCTGAGAGGTCTACCACCTCAACTCAGCCTCCTCTCCATCAATTCATCCACCCTTTCCTTCCTTTCCTTCCTTCTTCCTTCCCTTCACCTCACCCACTTTCCTTCCTTCCTTCCTTCCTTCCTTCCTTCCTTCCTTCCTTCCTTCCTTCCTTCTCTTTCCAGCATGAGGAATTACACCTGGAGTACTCTGCCGCTGAGCTATATCCTTATATAGCTATATCCTTTCAAGACAGGGTCTTGCTAAGTTGCCCAGGCTGGCCTCAAAGTCCTCTTGCTTTTCCAGGTGAGAGGAAGTTTCCAGGTGAAAGAAGCAGATACACAGCCACAAGTTCTGCCCATTGATAGTGTTTACTTCCCTGGTGACCCTTCCGGGCCCTCCCGAATGGCACTGTAAGGCAGCAGCAGTCCACTTTGGGGCAGTACAAGCATATTTTAAAGGAATATTTGTAATATAAAGAAAGGAAGGAAGGAAATGAAGGCCTGAATTTTTTCTTTCTGAGGGAATTGATTACAGGGAATTTCCCATGAGGCTGTGTGTTAGAGTTGATGGAAAGATGCCAATTGCAACAAGACTGCGTGTCACTGGAGTCTGTATCACCTGCTTATGCCAGTGTCCTCATGATCTGCTTGAACCTAGTATAACAGTTCTTACTTTCACTTGATGGTGGGATGTGATCAATTTTAACATTTGTTCAAATTAATAACTAATTCATGAGGAAAAGTTGGGGACTCATATTCATTTAGTGTTCCCTGGTCAAGCATTCAGTCTGTACCAAGATCAGGAATTATTTCTCAAAAGGAAGATGGTTATCTACAGAACAAAACATGGATTTATGCTAAAATCCTAGGAGACTGTGATTCTCCTATCAATAGTTTACCTCAAAAACTCAAGAGGATTTTAACGTTTGGGCTATGTTAGAGAAGCAGGATTGTTTGGATTAAACTATGCAAAAAAAAAAACCCTGCAAAGCTGCACAAAATATATAAAACAACTGTTTGAAGGCTCTGGAGAGAACCCAGGGCAGGCCTTCAAGACTTCAGTCCTTGGGAGGAGGTAGGCCCAAGAGGTGGAGTTTCATATGTCCCCAGTTCTTCACTTGAGGGCACTTCCCAATCTGTGAGATGGGAAAATAGAGTCCAATTAGGAAACAGAAGTACTGTTGGGCTGAAGATAAACAGGTTTAAATTTGGGTTGCCAAAGTGACTGAAAGTTTAGAGTCAAATTCCTGGAAAAGAAGACACTGCAGAGAAGGAATGCCAAAATTGGTGTATAAATTCCCTTAAGTCATTGACCAACCCCTAAGTTATGTAAATACAGGGAAAGACTTGAAAGATCCAGAAGAATGCAGCAGCTGGGAGGCCAAGGAGCTGCAGAAAGAGTTTAACAGCCATGTGATGCTAGAGAATCAGTCAGCGGTTTTCATGGGTTGGGGAGCACCATTTGAATGGAGGGGATACCAGGCTCTAGGAATAAGGACAAAATCCAGAAGAAAAAGGAAAATGGAAATAAATGCGTCATAATCTAAAACCAAGGCACAAGGACAAACCATTAGAACTATTTGCTGGAAAGAATACAACTCTTTCTGGAGGAGACTAAGTTATCCAGAAATTTATTTTTTTTAAATATTCAATGTCTAGTACCCAATCAAAGGGTATGAGGCTTGCAAAAACACATCTCAGAGAAAGACAGCCTATTAAACAAATGTTGCTGGGAAAATTGGATGGCTATAGTTAGAAAAATGAAATTAGACCCTTATCTCTCACCCTGCACAAAGTTCAAATAAAAACTGATCAGACTTAGGAATTAGACCAGAAACTTTACAACTGCTAGGAAAAAAAAAAAAACATAGAGTCAGCACTACATCATATTGGTGCTGGTACCAACTTCCTTAACAATACCCACACAGTGCAAGAAATAAAATCAAGAATCAATAAGTGGGATGCCATTAAGCTAAAAAGCTTCTGCACAGCAAAGGGAATGATTAAGAGTGCAAAGAGAGAGTCTACAGAATGGGAGAAAATCTTGGTCAGCTACCCCTCCAATAGGGGATTAATATCCAGAATATAAAAGAACTCAAAAACTTAACAACAATAAATAATAATAACTCAAATCAATAAATGGACAAATGAACTAATGGGAGAAGGGAGGGAGGAAGTGAAAGAAAAGGGAGGATTATGAACCAAATTCAATTTCCATACAGGTATGAGTTTGTTGGGATGAAACCAATTACTATGTATAATCATAAAGCTCTAATAATAAATAAGTAAATCAATAAACAAATATTTCTTAAAAGTGTGATGCATGGTTACAAACAAGCAAACGAGTCAGTAAGCAAAAACAAGAAGAGGAAGAGAGAGTAGAAACAGATGTGGGTGATTCAGATATAATTATCAGCCAGAAAATTTAAATACTGTTATTAATAATTTTTAAAGGAAAGAAGAAAAAAGAGACAATATGTAAGAATCAGAGAATTTAAAGACAGAATTTGGAACTATAAAAAAAAACAAAGAAAAAGAAATGAATATTCCATAACTAAAAATATAGTGTGCAAACTTCAGAATTTTTTAGATGGTTATACATAAGAAAGTATGAGTGAACTGAAAGACAGAAAATATCCAAATCAAATCAAGGAGGAAAAATCTTTGGGGATAAAAATGATTACAGGAACTAGCATAAAATTCTAACGTGTACTTAATGAGTCCCAATAGTAGAAAACAAACAGAGTGATGCAGAAACAATTTAGACAGCTGGGTGTGGTGGCACATGGCTGCAATTCCAGTGATTTAGGAGGCTGAGGTAGGAGGATCACAAGTCCCAGGCTAGTCTCAGCAACTTAGAGAGACCCTAAGCAGCTTAGTGAGACCCTGCCTCAAAATTAAAAAATAAGAAGGAATGGGAATTTAGCTCAGTGATAAAGTACTTCTGGGTTCAGTCCCCAGTACCAGAAAAAGAAAAGAAGAAAAAAGAAACAGTTTGTACAGAGATAATGTCTGAGAAATTTCCAAACTGACTCTAAAAGGTCAATTCATAGATTTAAGAAGCTCAGCAAATTCTAGGCCAAACAATACAAAAACAAACTAAAACAAAACAAAACAACAAAAAGGAAGCACATTATAGCAGAGTCAAACTGCTGGAAACTAAAGATATAAGGAATAACTGAAAAACAGAGAAAGTGAGATTCATTTTGTTTAATATAGCAACATAGGACTTACAGCTGTCTTTTCAACAAGAACTATTGAAGCCAATAGACAATGGGATGGCATCTTCACATTGCTAAAAGGAAAAACCTCTAGCTTAGAATTCTATACTCACTGAAAGTATCCTATACAAACAGAATTCATAGAAAATAACATCCTCAGCTTGGTCTGATGACATCTATGAAAATTCCACAACTGACATCATAGTTAATGGTGTAATGTTGAAAACATTTTACCATAAGGTCAGGACAAGACAACATGTCGTCTCTTGCAACTTTTTTTTTTTTCATACTAAGGATTGAACCCAGGGGTACTTAACCACCAAGCCACATCCCCAGTCCTTTTTTATATTTTATTTAGAGACAGAGTCTCACTGAGTTGCTAAGTGCCTCACTAAATTGCTGAGGCTGGCTTTGAGCTCGCAATCCTCCTGTCTCAGCCTCCTGAGGCACTGGGATTAGAGATGTGTACCACTGTTCCTGGCTTCTTTTATTCAACATTGTGCTGGAGGTCCTAATCAGTGTGAAAAAGGGAAGAAGAAAATAATAAAAGGCATTTATATTAATAGGGAATAAATAAAGTCATTATTCATAAATAATATGATCAAATATGTTGAAAATTCTAAAGGATCTAAATAGCTTCTAATATTAATATGTGAGTTTAGCAAGATAACAGGATACAAAATTATTATACAAAATATACTTTATTTCTACATATAAAATAAACTATTGGAAAGAAAATTTTAATATATAATTATTACATATCAATTAAAAATGAAAATGATATCATTTACAATAGCAAACCATAAAATATTTGGGGATAAATTTAACAAAATATATGCAAGGCTGTACTCAAAATGATGAAACATTGTTAAGAAAATTTTAAAGATAAAGAATTAAATAATTGAAAGATAAGCCATGATTATAGAGTAGAAGATTCAACATTGTTTAGATGTCAAATATGCCAAATTGCTCTATGGAATCAGTATTTGATGCAATTCCCATCAAGTCCAAGTAGGCATTTTTGGTAGCAACTGAAGTGATTCTAAATTTATATGGAAATACAAAGGACTTGAAAGAGCCAAAATGATTTTGAAAAATAAAAGTAAAAAAAAATAATAACAAGTTGGGAGGACATAAGCAACATGATTTTCGAAATATCTACCTGGAAGATGTGAAACTTGATCTTCACCTCAACACCATATACAAAAATCAACTCAGAATGGATTAAATGTTTAAACCCAAAGCTACCAAACATCTAGAAGAAAACTAGAGGAAAATCTGGAAAAATTGAGGTAGGCAAACATGTCTTAAATAGGGTATGAGAAACATAAAACATAAAGGAAAAATTGGTGAACTAGATGTTATCAAAATTAAAAACTTCTACCCTTCAAATGATATCATTAAGAAAATGAAAAGAGAAATCAAAAACTGGGAAAAAATAGTATAAACCTAACAGAAGACTCATAAAATAGAGAACTTCAACTCATTAGTTAAAAATAAATAATCCACTTTTAAATAGGCAAAATATTTGAACATATACTATAAAAACAAGATATGAATGACTAATGGGCACATGAAAACATGCCCAACATCATTAGTCATCATAAAAGTGCAAAATAAAACCACAGTTGAACTACAACTACTCATTTATTAGAATGGCTAAAATTTTTACACTGATAATACCAACTGATGGGAAGGACATGGGACTCTTTTTATAGAGTGGCCAGGGATGGAGTCTGCGGACCTCCGAGGATGGAATGCCAGTGAGCTCAGAGGATGTGTCATGAAGTGACCTATGTGGCTAGCACCTGTAGTCTCCAGAGTCACATTCCTAACAAGGAAGGGCAAGACTTTGAGAGTTTTTGTGGCCTTAGGATAATTTTAAGTGAATAAAGAGTGTACTCATACAGGTGAGGGTTGACTATTTCTCACAGAGTGTGGTTGAAAAATCTCCCAACTGGAAGGTTGGCCAACTGGAAGCAAATAAGAACCTGGACTGGCCATGGAACGCTGGAGCAGGAAGGATGCCCCATCCAGAACCTGGTCATGTGTGCTGTCAAACAGCAGCCTGAGACCATTTCCCAAAGATGTGTTCTGTGGTCAATGTTAAGTCCTTGATTGCAAATCTGCCATCGGGATGTGGATATGCAAGAAAAGTTGAGGACACTTGACTCTTTAGACCATCTGAAACATCCTACTTGCTCCCAACTCCCTCACAGGACAAATTTGTAATCTTTCTCCTTAGGAGACCATCTCAGGAGCTATGTTTGTGTATGCAAAGGTGGGGGGCCTTGACAAGATGCAAAGGAATTTTTTGGGGAAAAGGTGCTTGTTGTCCCATGCCCACACTGTTTATTTTTCATCAGCATTTGCAGAATTGGCAATTGAGGGAATGACAGTGGCTATCAGTTGCTGTAACACCATTTGTTAAGAATTTCTTTTTTCAGTGAATATTGGACAATTTATAAACTTCTGTCCTATAAATCTATATTTCTCTTCCTATGCCAACAGTATGTACTGTCTTGATTACTGTAGTTTTATAGTAAGGTGTTATACCTGTTTCTTCACTTCCTTTTAGCCGTGTTTTGCAGTTTTAGTAGTGTATTGCAGATATTTTGCTAACTTTATCCCTAAGTATTTCCTATTTTGTGTTAGAGTCTGTAAACAAGTCAAGATGGCTCCTGGCATTTTGCCAGAGGGAGTGGTTTGTGAAGTAACGCCAGCGAGCTATTAAGTGTGGAGATTCCTTATTGGTTGACTGCTGTATCTAGTTTATGTTAATTAAGATAAGCTGTGTGGAATGTATATATACCCCTCCTGTCCTACAATAAACAGCTCCCACTCCTGCTGTATCAATCTACACAAGTTCCTCGTCACCCCCGCGGTTATTTTGCTGCAGCCGGACTGCGGCAATTTTGGTTGCTATTATAAGTGGTATTTAAAAAACAGTTTAATACCTTTATTTTTATTTATTTATTTTTATGTGGTGCTGTGAACCCAGTGCCTCGCACGTGCTAGGCGAGCACTCTACCACTGAGCCACAACCTCAGCCCCTATAAGTGGTTTGTTTATATTCAGTTTCCAATTGTTCTATAAAACCATGGAACCAACCTTCAGTAGATGAATGGATAAAGAAAATGTGGTATATATACACAATGGAATATTATTCAGCATTAAAAGAGAATAAAATCATGGCATTTGCAGGTAAATGGATGGAGCTGGAGAAGATAATGCTAAGTGAAATTAGCCAATCCCAAAAAACCAAATGCTGAATGATTTCTCTGATTTAAGGATGCTGATCCATAATAAGCTGTGGGGGTGGGGGTGGTGATGGGAGGATTAAATAAACTCTAGATAGGGCAAAGGGGAAAAGGGGAGGGAGGGTAACGGTGGGGGCATGGGGATAGGAAAGATGGTGGAATGTGATGGTCGTCATTACCCTAAGTACATGTATGAAGACATGAAGGTCTTAAGTATGTGTATGACTCTACTTGGTGTACAACCAAAGGCATGAAAAATTGTGCCCTATATGCGTAATACGAATTATAATGCATTGTTGTCATATATAACAAATTAAAATTTTTTAAAAATGTTTAACACCATAGTGAAAGATTACTATAAAGAATAAGAATGCAAGAATGTCAGCTTTCACCACTTTCACAACATTGTACTGGAAAATTTAGTTGGTGCAATAAGAAAAAACAATAAGAGAAAGAGAAATTTTAAAGTTTGAAAGGAAAAAGTGAAACAATAAGGCAAAAGGAAAAGCATTTGTCAATTGTAGAAAAGAACAAACCACTCACACAAGCAATAAAACAGGTGAATGTAAAAAAACCCTGTGGCAAGCAACAGGAGCCAGGTTCATTTCATTTATATGAAATCCTGGAGAGTGTAAAACAGATCTCCACTACCAAAAACAAATCAGTGTTTGCCAAGGGACAGAGTAGGAGGGCTGACTAGGAAGGGACGCAGGGGAACCCTCCAGGGTGATGGAATATTCTCTTATCTCACCAGGGATGGAGGTTATGCCATTGTATGCATTTGTCAAGATTTTTGGAAACTTTACACTTAAAGAGATGTCCTTTATGTTGCATATAAAGTCTGCCTCAATAAAGTTGATAGCATAAATTTCTAGTTCATCTTTGAATTCCCCTGGCCATTTTATAAGTGGTTTGTTGGAGCAGTGGTGCAAGTGGAATAAACTAAAGCAAAATGCAATTAATTTCTTTGTTTAATTGCTTCAAAAGGTGACTGACTGTCAAAAGCAAAAGTAGCAATGTTCTGTGTGTTTAGAACATATATAAAAGTAGAAGGTTTGAGACAGCACACAGAATGGGGGATCTACTGGTACAAGTTTCTTTTCACATAAAGGTTAGGTTGTAATTAATTAAAAATGTATATCATAAACACAAGGACAACCACTAAAGAACAATAATAAGCTAAAAGAGAGGATAACATAGAATCATATTTTTAAAGCTTTTTTTTCTGAAAATTTAAGCAAGTTTTAAATTTTTTTTTCTTGTGAAAACACTGTTTTGTAGCTTTGTGTGTGTGTGTGCGTGGGTGTGGTGTTAATAGAGATTCAACCTAAGGGTGATCTACCACTGAGCTATATCCCCAGCTTTTACTCTATTCTATTTTGAGACAAGATCTCACTACCCTGGCTGGCCTCAAACTTTCGATCCTCCTGTCTCAACCTCCCAAGTCACTGGGATTATAGCCATGCACCACTGTGCCCAACTGCTCCCTCTACTTACTTAACAATATATCTTAAGAATGACACCATGTCAACATGTAGAGCTTACTTGTTTCCTTTCCTGACTCATTTCCTTTCCTAAAAAGGAAAATGTATGTGTTTTATACATTTTTATATTTTATTCAACCAGGCCATTATTGATGAATGTGTAAGCTAAAGAATGATTGCCAGTCAATCTTTGGGACAGATTCCTAGAGTGAGATTACTGAATAAAAGGGGAGAGCATAAATACCTTTGATGGCTACTTATAGTAGCACTGTACTAATTTTTCATCCTCACAAGAGACTTATGAGACATCTACTTTTTCCAGGAATATTGTCAAAATCTTAGGTTTTTGCTTTTCTAAGTAAGTAAAATACGGCATTGAGGAATAGTTTTAGTTTGTATACATTTTAGATAGTAGATGAAATACCTTTTAATTGTGTGAAGGCCAGGCATTGGTCATCTATCTATTCACATTGTGCCCATTTTTATATTGAAATATTAGACTTTTTCTTCTAAAGTTTGAAGAGCTCTTCATGTATTATAAGTAGTTGTTCTTTTCCTGGGCTATGTCTTTTATTTTTTGACTTTGTTTATAAAGGGTTTTTTTTTTCCCTGCCGTGCAGATTTTTTTTTTTTATTTCAGCAAACTATTGTTGAATTATTCAGTAGTGAAAATTTTATACAACTCCAGATTCCTGTGCACATTCACATCATTCCATTGCACCAGGGAGAAAACCCTGGACCAAAGTATGAAAATCACTTTTGGAGCTGTCTACTCAGTTGAATTTTATTTTACTATTTTATATGATTAATTTATTCATTCAACAATATTTATTGAGTTTCCACTCCAAGCTAAGCACCATTATTTGGAGTCCTGGGAGCAGAATTGGCTGCACTTAAAGGTTAAATGTCCCTGTCCCTGCCTGGTTTTTGAGATATGCAATTTTCATGATGGCAGCCTTGACATCCTTATTTCTCAGGGTATAAATGAGTGGGTTAAGAATTGGTGTGAGAATAGCATAGGCCACATTGCCCATGATGTGGAAGTCCAGGGGCAGGTCAGCCCTGTAGGCCACATAGGCCACGGCAATTGACGAGTAGTAGGTGCCCACCACCAGGAGGTGGGAGCTGCAGGTGGAGAAGGCCTTGGAACGTCCTTCTCGGGAGCTGATGCGAAGCACCGAGGCCAGGATGTGAGCGTAGGACAGAAGCACCAGGAGAAGGGGGAGGAAGGAGACCACCATGGCGATGCAGAAGCCCATGAGGGTCTGGGGGGTGGTGTCGGAGCAGGAGGCCTGGACTAGAGAAAAGTGGTCACAGAAGCAATGATAGATGTAGGCAATGTTGTTATATGCCATCTGGGAAGTCTTCACCACCGCTGGGACGGGCAGGAGGAGGGCAGTGAGCCAGGCACTGGCCGCCAGTGCAGCATTAGTCTGTGGGGTCATGTGGACGGGGTAGTGCAGTGGGCGGCAGATGGCCACGTAGCGGTCATAGGCCATGACCACCAGGAGGAAGGCTTCTGAGCATGTAAAGCTTTGAAAGAGGTACATCTGCAGTAAGCAGGAAGGAAAGCTGAGGAAGTGGTCCCCAAGCAGGAACAGGGACAGCATCTTGGGGACGGTAGTTGTGAAAAGAATATCTAAGGCTGAGAGGTTGATCAGAAAGAAGTACATGGGCTTGTGAAGGCTTGGCTCTGCCACCACGGCCACCAGAATCAGGGCATTACCTGTGAGAATGAGAAGGTAGAACAGGAGGAAAATAAAGAACATGGGGAGGAAGAAGAACTCTGGTAGAGACGGGATGCCCACCAGGTAGAAGACGGGGGTTCTGTCCACTGAGCCATTACAGGTTGTGGCCTCCATAGTGAGACAGAGCTGGATTTCTGAGAGATGGACAGCTGGAATATCTGGACACTGAGAACATCTGGAAACCACAGCAACAAAAGATTTTCAAGTGATAATTATGTAATGTTTACTCTGTAGTTAACATGAGCACAATTATTTATAACCAACTCTTGAGGGCTGAGGGTCGGCTGTGATTTCTATCATGTGAATCCAGAATTTTTCAAATATTAATTATTAATTAATGATCTAGTAGATAGAAGGCTTTATGATGTGTTTAGGTGATCATGCTGAAGGTGAAGAAGAAAGGCAAAATTCCTGTTTTCTGAGAGTTTACATTTTACTGGGAAACCAGATCTAAATAGTTGGATATTTAATCATGACTGAATTCTTTGGGAAGACTTTCTGGTTCCCATCTTAGGTTGCATGATGCATGGTTTGTGTTGTGAGATCTCTTGAATCAAGTCATTAAGCTTGTGTCTTGACTTTTGCACTCACTTCAAGATCCACCACGTGGCTTTGGAGGGGTTCCTGTGTCCAAGGTTCACTGTAATACACTGCTGCTCAGATACTTAGTAAGCTTCTCCCTTCCCTGTGTTCCTTGAGTTGTGGTCCTTCCTGACTCCATTTAAGCTGGGTGTCTGAACTTCTGCTACTGCCAAGGATGTAATAGGCCATGGTAGCTGAACTTTTCCACTGTGACAACTAGGAAAACCTGGATAAATTATACAAATCACATTTTTAAATAAATTGACGAAACATAAGTGCATTAAGAATAAAATTGAACTCTTCATGTTGGGACCTGGGGGGCTCCAAAGCAAATTAACAATCACCACTTGTTCTTGTAAGAGAGCTGTTAGACATAGCAAAACCAATTTGGGGGAGCAAACTGAGACTGGTGAGAGGATCCATTCACCAAAATTTCATTGAAATCCATTTGTAAAATTTTTTCAGCAGCAACAATCACCAGCTCTTTGTTTCTCTGGAAATGTCTGGTTTGAGGGCCATCATGGGTTTTGAACTCAGACCGAGCAGAGGGAGAAAGAAGCAAACCTTTTATCAGTCAAAGACAGTCTTGCAAAATAGATTAGAAATTCAAATGGGCCATCTGAATTCTGGAGCTATGCAAGGGAGGCTGGAGAGCTAAAGGGCTTCTAAAAAAACAAAATCTCTCATGATTTTGTGATGCTTAAAAGACTAGTGAGAAAATGAAAATAGCTAAATCATTTAAAAAATAAAAAATAAAAGAGGGCTTGCCTCAAACACACTATTATACCCCTCAAAAGATTCCCCAAGCATTGAAGCTATATGAATGGGGGTGGATGCCATGGAGGGGGTAAAGGGCAGCCAAGGAGCTACTCAAACCCTCCAAAGGAAGAAACAAATCTACTAGTCTTTCAGGGCTGAGGGGACAGATCAATAATGTTATCAATTCAAAATACAGGACAGTCATGCCTAGGAACAGAAACAGACCAAATTTAGACTAAACCCTACTAGAACTAAAACCCAGCCTGACCTAACTCAAGCATCAATGTGATAAGCTCCTTACTCAACCTGCCTAATAGAGAAAAGGGAACATATATCTGGTGAGACATGTCATGTAGGATCTCCATGAATTTAACATAACATTCTACCCACAATAAAAATTATTAGATATGCAAAAGGAAGGAAAGTGTGACCAAGAGTTAAGAGAAAAAACATAATATAAAAGTTGTCAAACAAATGATCCAGATACCTGAGTTAGCAAACAAGGACTTTGGTATAACTATGTTAAAGAAAATAGAGGAAAATGTTAGCAAAATGGACTTTAAAACAGAGAATTTCAACAGAAGAGTGAATTCTATTTTTAAAAGTCAAACATTCTAGAATAAAAATATCCAATATTTGAAATTAAGAATTCATTGGATAAACATTAGTAGCAAACTGAACATAATGGAAGACACATTAGAGACCTGAAAAATAGATCAGTGGAAAATATTAAAGTCCCAGAAAGTGATAAAGAGTGCATGCTGTGCAATTTAACTGATATTAACTGATAGGCGAAACTCATCTATGGTATCATAAGTCAATACAATGATTGCTTACAGGGGTGAGGATTGACAAGAAGGTGATCAGAGTACACTTTCTGAAGTGATGGAAATGTTCTATATATTGATTTGAGTGGTGGTTACATGGATGTTTGTTTATATTTATGAAACCACATTGAATTATACCTAAATCTGTGCATTATCTTCTGTGTAGATTTTATGTCAATTAAAATATAATGCCAGATGTGATGACACTTGCCTATAATTCCTGTAGCTCAGGAGACTGAGGCAGGAGGATCAAAAGTTCAAAGACAGCCTCAGCAACTTAGAAAGGCCCTAAGCAACTTAACAAAACCCTGTCTCAAAATAAAAAATAAAAAGGGCTAGGGATGTGACTCAGTGGTAAAATGCCTCTGGGTTCAATTCCTAGTACCAAATAAATGAATAAATAAATAAAATCGCGCACACACACACAACCCAAAGTGAGAAGATAAGATCTTGGATGGGAGAAACTATTCTCAATGCATATATCAAAGGGCATGTATACAGCATATATACAAATCTCCCACAAGCAATAAGAAAGGAACAGATGAAATAACAGAAAAATGGGAGAAAGACATGACTAGGCAGGTACCTCAAAGAGACCATCCAAATGGTGAATAAGCACAGGAAAAAGTGATCAACATCTGTGGCCTTCATAGAAATGTAAATTAAAACATAATGAAAACACTACATACTCACCAGGATTGCTAATATGTGAAGAGCTTCCAAGCTTTAGTGAAATTAGGAGTGATTAGTGAGTGCTCTCACACATTGCTGGTAACTGGTAAACCACTCTGCATAATGGTTTGGCAAAACCTCCTAGAACTTGTGACTCAGCAATCTTGCTACTGGACACATAGCCAAGGAAAATGAGTGCTATGTCCATAGCCCTAAAAATACACCCCCAAAATTGAAAATGTGTCACACAAAAACTTGTACATGAATGTTCATTGCAGAAGTATATGTTAGTCAAAAAGTACAATACTAAAATATTCATTAATGGATGAATGGAAAAACAAAATGTGGTTTATCCATGAATATTACTCAGTCATAAAAGGAAAAGACATGGATGAATCTTTTAAACATTATGCTGAATGAAAGAAGCCAAATATAAAGAGCACATATTGTATGATTCCATTTATAGAATATGTCCAGAATAGGCCTCTATAGAGGCAGAATGATTAGTGATTGCCAAACTAAAAAATGGGGGTTGCAGGGTGCAGGGGGGACTGCTTAAGGGATATAGAAGTAGTGAAAATGTATTGGAATTTAATAGATATAATGAGTGTACAACATTGTGTAATGTACTAAAAGTCATTAATCGGCATAGTTTAAAATGGTAATTTTTATGCCATAAATTTTGCCTTAATAGAAAATGTACCTACCAGCCTTTACTTACAGTTCCCAAATGAAACAGCCCAAATATCCATGACAGTAAAATGGACAGATGGTAGTATAGTCATACAATGAGGTACTAAATGGCTATGAAAAATGATGAGCCACTGTTACATGCGACTTAATATATACAGCTCACAGTCATAATATGGAATAAGAGAAACCAGACCCAATGATTGCATGCTACATGATTCCATGTAGACGAAGATCAAAAACAGAAAATGTTCGTCCATGATGATGGTGGTAGCAACAGCAGCTACACTGTGGTCGAGGATTGGTTGGGTCTGGGGCAGAGAGGCTTCTAGGTTGCTGGAAATGTGCTATTTATCTAGCTATATTGTAGCCGATCTCTAAATAGCCATATCTATGCCTAACATTTGTGGGCTTTATTTTTCTGTGTTCCTTAAACACATACAACTGAATATATTGCTTGCCTCTGGTGTGTGACTGTTGTCACGTTACAATAAAAAAAACAGCAGAGGATGCTTTTTGTGGGAGGAGTCACTTCCAATTGGAGTCCAAGTTACAGGTGTATTGTTGGCAACATTACGTAGAATGCCCAATTGCCCCTTGATGGAAGGGCATCCTTGTGTGATACACATCCTTGTGTGATCCTTCCTCCTAGCTGCAACTGTCATTCAGCAGGTGTTTCCAATTGAGCATTTCATGACTAGGCTTCCCTCGCCACAGATAGGTAGGTACTATAGTAACGTAGACTTAGGAGCCATTGTCACTAGAGAATAACACAGTGTTGTGACAAGAGCCCAAAGGCCAAAGCCCCACCTAAGAAGTTGCTTCCCCTTATGGACCCACAGATCTGGGGGTCTCTAATGAGGAAGAATAGGACTTCTCTGCTATTTTGGATGTTCTCCTGAATAAACGAGCCAGGAGCGAGCCTGTGTGCACATGGGTATCATTGCCTCTTTAGTACCGATGATTTTGAGATTACTGCCTCCCTGATTTTTTCAGAACTCTCCCATTTCTCTTAGCTCCCATAAAATACCTGTCATGGCACTCAATTGCAAAAATGTCAAACCTGAAAATGTCCAGTCAGCTTTTTCCTTTACAAAAATGGACAAATGACAAAAAAAGTTTAAGGCTCTGCCCAAGCTCCTGTGGCCAGTCAGTCATGGGTCCAGGACTGGAGTCCAACCCTCTCTCCATCAATCCTTTCTTCTCTAATCTGGAGAATTGGGAAGCTGAGGTTTTCATGAGACTAGAGATCGAGGCACAGGTTTTCTCTTCCCTTCCACATTTCTTTGCTGCTAGTGCCATTTCACTGCCTGATCTCCACATTCCAGAGTTTGTTTGTTTTTTTCTCTTAAGCATGTGGCCTGGTACTCCATCAGAGAGTGAAGGCTGGTAAAGTGTCTTTCTAAACGACACATGGGACAGTCACTTTATTGTGAATGCCCCCTTGAAAGAGAGTTCTAAGGGTCGGCCCCATTCCCCAGGCAGGAAACCAAAACCCCTGCACCTCTGTTGAGGAGGGTTAACCCTGTTAACCACACCCAACTGCCAAGCCCACGGCTGTGTTTTTCTAAACCCAAAACAGATGCTAGCTATATTTCCCTGAATGTCATTATGGCTCAGAAAAGTCAACTATGGATTAAATATCACTGAATTAGGGTGAGATGGCATTTGAGGGGCTAAAACTCAGAGCCACTGAGTGCCATTTTACCAAAATTTCTCTTCCTCACTTCCATCAAACAGTGAGGACATTGGCTGATTCTGAAGCCCAGAAATACAGAACGTCTTTCCAAGGTCAACCAACAAATTTATACCAGAAGTACAGGTCCTGAACCCAGTGTCCTGACTCCCAGCCAGCACATCTTCCATTAGGGAAGATGACTCCGTAGCCTGCCAGCCAAACCCACCACCTTGCAACTTCATCCTCCCCTAGACCATGGCAACCCCCGACCTGGCCTGTGCTTCTGCCAAACTCAACTCAAAATATCACCTCCTCTGAGAGGCCTCATGGTCCTGGCTGGCTCAGTGGCCTCTTTTCCAAACCTTGAACTTCCTGTACTGTCCTGTGTCATATTTCTGATCACACTGGGTTGTCATGGTCTATTTATGTGTCTATGACTTTACCAGACCAAGTGCACTCTCAGGGCAGTAACGGGGGCTGATTGTTTTCTATTTAATAATGCACCACTGCTCCTCCCAG